AAAGGGCATCCGTGAACTGTATCAAAATGTCCTCACGATGGCTAGCTCAGTTCAAAACGCAATAAAAATGTGGAACATTCCGAAATTTCTAAGGCCACCTGTTTTTGGACAACGTGCCGGTGGGCGGAAAAACTACTGCCATTCGCAACACAAGCTTGAAATCACTCGTCAGGTATTTTTGTTAACGCGTTTCACATCTAGGCACATTTTCTCGTAAACGTGACTGTTGAGCCTGGCATACACCTACTACTTATCAGCTGTAAGTCAAAGGTGAGAAGCACATGTCAACAGGATTTCCGTGGGCATTTCCATTCGGTCCATCATTCCACTTTTGGAGTCACGAATATGTCCGTTTTCTTGTACACCAATGTATTACTTTTATCATAACAACACTTGACACAAGACTCTCCAAAAACAACGTGGTCTCACCTTATAAATTGGTTCTCACACACTAGAAAACACTAGGTGTTTAGTACATGGTCTTGAAGGCCGGCGCAGGGGCATGCGAGCGACCAGGTTTGTAGGCTGGGGCCGGGGCATAGGAACCAGCAGGCTTGTAGGCCGGGACCGGGTGGTAGCTAGGCTTGTGCTCCTCATAGCGGGGCTCCCCAGTGTAGGTCATCTCGGCGATGTAGCCTCCGTGACCGTCATGGTCAGTGGCGTACGTGACATGCTGAGCACGGCCGTCTGGCAGGTTGACCGAGCAGTAGCCGCTGATATTCTTGGTGTCGCTGTTCTCGTTCTGGGAGAACACGGCACCGGAGTCTATCGGTAGTAATAGTCATTTTTTTGTGCGTCGCTTCAAAAGTCTCCATTCAGAATGTTTAAAATGCGAGTATATTTAGAGGGCACTGGAATCCCTCACCACCGATTATTACTCCATACCTTCCCCTGTTTCATGAGCATGATTTTTGAGTCTAATGAAACTAATCATTTAATGCTTTCATTGTTTTGAAATAGTAATCGAGAGGATCCATTGATGAAAATAAGTTGATGTGCCTGCGCCATATTTGTGGCTTAGTTTATATGAAGACAGCATCATTATATTCGTTGTCATCGCAATGAAAGTTTTTTGGCAAAAACATTTTTTCCCTTTTGTCTTTTCGTCATTCACCGGGCTGCCAAAGATCACATTTTCTTTTCTGCGCAGACTTCCTAGTTCAGTTTTGTCAGGTCTCGATGAGTGGTGTTCCATTGATTGGTTCAATTTTTTTGCATTGTCGGGATTTTGGCCTTCGATATTTGTCCTTTTGAATTGATTGTCGTTTATTTTCGATTATGGACATTAAGCAGTATAATACTCCTACTCATAATATGATGAGTGGATTGGGGCACAAGCGGAACACTTAAATCTGAACAATGGTCATGACCGGCCGAAACTGCTCTGACCGAAACTTCTGAAACATCACGGCATCGTATTTACGAGCATCTTGTTGTTCTTCAGCAGCTCCGCTAGCCACAAGCGTCTTTATTATCTCACACTCCTCACCTGAACAAGAATCACATCTCGCACATTTCTATAACCGTAGATCGCAAAGTACATGATGCTACCCCAAAGATCTACACTGCTGTAGTTACTCATTAGTCTAGTTAAATTTGCTGCCAGGTAATCATAGAACGAATTCTTTAAGATTTGGTGTGTATTTTAAAAGCAGACAGAACACTTTGCCGTGAGTTAAATTGGCGAGTGGGTTCTTCAAAATTATACACGGTACATGGACACAAAATCAAGTTTTCCTCTTGTACGATGGATTAAATAACCTGCAACCTTGACCGAAACCGATCAGTGACCACCCGCCCCCTACCCCCTTCCCCCACCGCCTTGCGTTCGTCTCCGTGCTGTGAGGTGGCTGTCACCAGTTCCGGAAGTCCTGCATTTAATCTTGTGTTGAAGAACGTGTAAATCCATGGTGATGCTGTAATAAGAACCAGAAACAAACGCTGCACATAGCGCTAACCGATTTCTTGCGGTTTAGTCATACGCCGAAGCTGATGAAGCATACCAAAGGAATGATATCAATGACTAGGCAGCATCACTTACACACCAAAGGAATGATATCAGTGATTCGACGGTATCACATACGCACCAAAGGAATGGTATCAATGACTCGTGAACATCATTTAAGGCGTTCTTTTTTACGTAACCCACTAGCTGCTTACCATGACAATGTCAGTGATTGTCCAGCGTTGAAATATTGCTCTCTAGATTTACAACGCTGTTGTAGTGGTGTTAAGCGTTCTTAAAGCCTCAAGGAAACTATTCTTGCTACAGCTGCAAATGACGGATCTCTAATGTCACCAGCGATATCACAGGCTCAAAAGAGATGGGTGGGCTGTTTTGCGAAAGCAGCGAGCTTATCTTTACAAAACTTAAATACCACAGTCGTTTCTTCTCATCCTTGGTAACTTATTCTTCTTCCGATACCTTTGATATCTCTGATTATTCAAAGCGCAAAAAATACAAGTCATGCATTTGATCGGCAAAATGGCTCATGTTTTCGCCGCTTTCAATGATTGGCTGAGTGCTTCATCGACCTTTTAGCAATGATCCCGTCTCAGAACTAGACACAAGCTTACGCATCCAATGCAGTTTCGCGCGTGCATACTTTTTAGATGGCCAGGTCTAATCCAAAGATGGGGGACGCCTAGGAAAAGGTCTTCTGCAGACATGTCGTCGTTTCCTCTCGTGTTTGAAGCAAAACTACGCTCCCTTTATGGTACAATGATTTATTAGCGGTCATCACGACATGAATGCCAAATTTCACACGAACAGACTTACATTATAAATATTTGTTCACACCAGAGCACTAGGTATTCAGTACTTGGGCTTGTAGGCCGGCGTAGGGGCATACGAGCGAGCAGGCTTGTACGCCGGGGCAGGGGCATAAGAGCGAGCAGGCTTGTACGCTGGGGCGGGGGCATACGAGCGAGCAGGCTTGTATGCCGGGGCCGGAGCATAAGAGCGAGCGGGCTTGTAGGCTGGGGCCGGGTGGTAGCTAGGCTTGTGCTCCTCATAGCGGGGCTCTCCAGTGTAGGTCACCTCGGCGTTGTAGCCTCCGTAACCGTGCTGGTCAGCGACGTACTTGACGTGCTGGGTACGGCCATCGGGCAGGTTGACCGAGTAGTAGCCGTTCACATTCTTGGTGTCACTGTTCTCGTTCTGAGAGAAGACGGCACCGGAGTAGTGGTCGTTGACGGCATAGTCAAACTGGTAGGGCGTGTCGTAGTTGGCTGGCTCCTTGTAGGACGACTGGTGGTAGCTCGGACCATGGGAGTACGCCGGCTGCGGGGCGTAGCTGTTGGCAGGAGCGGCGGAGGCAACAGCCAGCAGAGCGGCAGCGATGAACACCTGTGGAAGTAAAAATGCTGTCATTTCCTACAAGTCCATCTTGTTTCATCTGTGGTTCTCTTCTAGTGGGTTTTGAGATATGAAGTGGTATTGTACCACTAACCAAAAGAAAGCTGATCATTGGGGTTGGAGCATGCAGCTTTGCACGAGCGTGCTGGTACTTGCCTTCATGTTTGTAGCGTTGGTCTTGTCGACTGATGCTGTGAACGGTGAACGGCCTGGTTTTATACGCGCTCACGGTCTTGACCTTGACAAAGAGGCTGGGCGCGGCCCCGTGAATTGAATTTGGACCGGTGCAAGGACAGCGGGTTGCATGTTCGCTGCTTCCCCTTGCGTTGAATATTAACGTAGCGAATTGACATGAATTTGGTTTGAGTTTGGCAGGAAAAGATGTTAACGTTAAAGTTGTTTCACTACTGTTGTAGTTACTTGCGTTGCGCTGGAACATATGCGACACGTGAGCGTTGCAGCGCGGCTGTGCCTGTTCTTGGAGGGTCATACCACGACAAAACGGTGGGAGCGTAACACGGCACAGCCTTCAAATTAGACGACAACACATGTATAGGATACCTCTACTGCGAAAACACCATTTTAAAAGTTTTAGAGCAGAGCAGCTTACTTATAAGGTACTAGGACTAGATGAAAATATGCAATGATATCGCGAAACTATTCTTCTATTTCTTCTAGCGGAAGCAGTTCTGTGGAACGTAAGGTTTGGGAGATGTGCATCGGAGAGCCAAATTATTGTATTGTTTTGAGACATGGGTCAATTTATTTTAAGTCAACCGGGCACACTCGTGCTTACTTCACCTCATGGGCCCGAGGTTGGCCTTTCATCTCATTGTCTGAAAAACATGGTACAATCTATATTCTTTGAACAGTTATGCAGTTATAGACCAATTTTTGCCGTCCAGCTTAGAAAGCATGTGAGCGATCTCTTCTTGATCGGTTGCATATCCAGTTCAAGCATTGGCAGATCACGCACAGCGGCGCGCCACGTCAGGTCACCGGGCGTGGTCGGCTCACACCGTCGGCTAATGTGACAGTGGTCTTGAAGAGATGTGTTTCGACATAAATCAGATTATTTAGGTAGTCTTCCGAAGGATGCAAACAATGTCTGAATGGCGAATGCGTGTCTGTCGTCCTTCACGAGTCTTGCACAGTTGGCAATGTCGTGCGCTTTTCCACCATCACAGCACATCCATGGCCGTTATATCAAGTTGATCTAAAGTTGCATTACTATATTTTCCAATGCCACATTGGGAGAGGAAGGAAAGTCGCCTCGGTTACCGACAGTACGCATATAATTGAACGCTGGCTCCGTGTAAGCGAGACCGGGGGAAATAGAGGGTCATTTTATGATAGAGCTTTATTCCCGGGAGGTCGGGAAAATAAAGACGTACAGTTTTGCTCTTTTTAACAAGTGGTTCCAGCGAATGCGCAATGAAAAGAAACTATGATAATTAGGCGAAGAACTCGAATGGAGAATGTATGGAAGACCACGCCTCGGAGCTTAAGATATAATTCGATATTGTGTTTTCAGCATATTTCCACATATTCGACCCCACGTCGTTTGTGAGTTTTGCAGTTGTGTCATTGAACGCCAAGGATATTTTTTTGTCTAGTTGATGTCAGCACACATGCATCATTAACAGCATGCATGCAGCATTGGACGAGAGTGCTGGCGCTTGCCGTCATGTTCGCAGTGTTGGTCTTGTCAACCGGTGCTGTAAACTGCGAACAGTCTACCGCATACATGCATGCGGTCTTGACCTTGACTGGAAGGCTGGGCGCGGCTCCATGAGTGAATATAGGTCAGTGCTGGAAGTGAAGCATGTGCGGTGCCTAGCTTATTGTGAACTGTATTGAAGGTGAGATCACACTTTCGCATACCCTATTATTTGATTTGACTACGAAAGACCGTAACCTCCTGATCATTCATGTCCAGTGCTCATGATAATCTTAGATGGGCGTTGCACCCAGTCGTCCGTGAGTATACGACTAGATACAGCCACATTTAACTCGGACGGGCTTCGGTGCAGCGGGCGAGCCCTCAACGACCCAATCTTTGCGGCGAGAGGTAAGAACGAACACAGCCGCAGTAATCATTAGATTACTGACCGTGATTCTGTGCCAATAAATTGGGATCAGTGGGTGCCTGTAGGGAAATGCGAAACACTTGAATAGGTCAGCTTGATAAAACATTGATTGTGAAAAAGCTCTCTTTGTGTGCTTGACGATTCAAACATGTTGAGTACACGTGTAAGACACTGACATTTTTCACTCATGTATCAAGAACAGTGACATAGCGTAATGTGAACAGCTTGCAGCCGCAAATGCGTAGTACGAATGGTAGGTGTCCGATGCGACATGTCCGATTAGCGACGTGTCAGCCATTGTTTGTAGCATCTTACCGCAAACGCTTCTCCTATCAGTATCTTGTCTATTGACCGCGTAAATGATTGTGTTGTGTGTGTGCGTGTGTGTGTGTGTGTGTGTGTGTGTGTGTGTGTGTGTGTGTGTGTGTGTGTGTGTGTGTGTGTGTGTGTGTGTGTGTGTGTGTGTGTGTGTGTGTGTGTGTGTGTGTGTGTGTGTGTGTGTGTGTGTGTGTGCCAGGTCTGTTAAACTTGTGATTGATTATTGTGCGTTAGGTTTGCCACAGTCTTGTGTGGTGTTTGGTGAGTTCATATGTTGTAGTAAGATTTTCCCGTTGGTATTACGATGAAGAGATCGCCGCTCGGGGCTGTTGTGTCGTTTTCATCTCGGCCGTGCGGGGTGACCCACATCCGCGCTGTCCTGGCCGCTATGACCAACACCGGGCGCGGGGTTAACGTTATGCCCGGCCGCGTGTGGCAGCATTGTTCCGTCGCTCGCGGTTTCCGTGATGTTGTTTGGAATACCGACAGGAAATTGCGTGTTTTGGTGACATGGCAATGACAGAAACATCATGTTGACATGATCATCCGATTCGGTCCCTGTCCATTAATGTTCTTATAGTGAGAAATCTTGATTTTGACTTCCTGGAACGTACGCCCACCAAGGTGAAGCATGCCGTTGAATGATAGCGCGGAATTAACTCCTGTCAACATTAAGTCATGGGACTTATTACGGTGTTCAGCTGTAGCATGCGAGTCATGCGAGACTAATTAAGGAGATGCACAAGTGCTTGTTATTTACGCGTCACCTATTTATTTCATGAAATAATCTTGGAAGGAAAGCACATTTCCCGCTGGAAACAGAAATCACTTGGGGAAATGAATGGGACGCGGCCGGTCACATTCAACTATGGAACAGCGCATCAGGTGGGCGTGACACAATTGCTTCCTAGACGATTCGGTGGGGCAGTTCAAGGTCGGGTTGGCAACGGAGAGGGGCGACTGGCTGGTGACCGACTCAATATTGGTTGAGATGATTTTGCTGTTTTAGGTGTGCATGCACCAGTGGTTGATATTCAACCGTAAATAACTGTACTCTTGTGTAGGGTACAGGATGCCATTGTGCACTGCGGTCAATTAACACAATTCTCTGCGGGAACTGCCATATTCGCTTGAATCCGAACGCTGCGGAGACGGTAGGGACTTATGTTTGGAGCGCAAGCAAATGCCTCTCTGGCATCATAAGCGAGTTTTGTCTTGAAGATGTATGGAGGCAGTTAAACCCCTCTAAATAGGAATAAACGTGGCGGCGATCAGGCCAACCACAGCAAACGCGTACAGGTCATGTATTAGTTAGCGAGACACTTTGCTGTAGCGTTGACGTACAGGCGTTTCCTAAATTACTACAACATTACGATTACGATTTTCCGATACGATTCAACGATACGATTACGATACGATGCGATTTTAGACGAATACTAAACAAATCATGGTGGTAAAGTACTACGAGAAAATAAAGCTAGCTTAGAGATATTGCACGAAATATTACAAGGAGATTTTCACGTCAAAAGGTCCAGCTGAAGGGATAATGGTTATATTTTTGGGAGTGATCAAGCTGCAAAGCTCACCGCACGGGAACATGGGCAATGAGACGGTCTGATTGGGGGCAAAGAATGCAAATTAGCGTTGAATAGAAAGAACAAAGTAAACGCTCTGGCATCACGTGATTTACAGCGGAATCATCGCTCACTATTGGAATTATCTCAAAAGCATCGTAGCCGTGAACATCAACGACGTTTTTGTTCACGTTTTCTTTAACCCAGCGTCGGAGCATCGTAGCCCTGGTTCCCAGGAAAGAAGACCAGACCGGATGACAAAACAAGGGGTCTCGATGTTTACGAGATTTAAGTTATCTCATTGCTGCAAAGGTTATTGCTACTCGCATTGGCTGTCATCCATAAATGGGTGTCTCCAGATAAAACTGGATTGGCGAATGTTAATTTATAGGTGAAAACATAAGGTTAACGGCCCATGCCGTTAAGTATTGGGATAACGATTAGACTGGAGGATTGATGATGCCTTGCGATATCTGGCTTCGCTCGATTCACCGGAATACCATTGTTATATCTGTTCTTTTGGAGCGTACAATTTTGAGGACAATTCAGTGCCGTGGATAAAGTTCTCAGCAGTAATGCCCTTTCGGCAGTAGTGCACAGCTGGTTTACATCAAACTGGTTTTAGTGTGGTCGCGGCACGTTCTAGGAATCTCATATGAGGGAAATGTTGTTCGACTTGACAACATAAATTTTAGAGATCAATATAGAAATTAACATAAGCATTTTTGGCACCAGAATGAATAGTGTAGAGGGAATTATATGCTTCTTTTCCGACGAGATAACATTGTTCTGCCAGTCAATCAAGCAACTGCAGCAATCGGCAGAGACAGTACTGCGCGCCAAGAACGAGCTCAGCAAATATTTTTGGTTGAGCCTAAACTTCAACAAGAGTCGGGTGATGTCGGGTGCTCAGAAGGACAGTAACTGGTCCGTTTCAGGAATACAGACCGCAAAGATAAGTGGAATGAGAAGGTTCAGAATTAAGTGATGCGATTCATAATGCGAGACTAGCCGCGTAAAGTTGCTAAAAGAATACTGACCCAGGATATGGAGCATGGTGGGATGAAAGGATGAGACGTTCAGAGATGATGCCAATCATTAAACATGAAGTAGATTAAGTGTCTATACTCGAACCGGGAATCAATTAGGCGTAGACTGATACAGATACGAATGACACTTGCTCGTTAATCGACATGTTCAAAAACAGCCTGGGCAATAACGAAATAAAGCGCTTTAGTATTCGAAGATTTTACAGAGATATAAGTGCTGAACTTAAAGAACACATCAGTTCACCTACACAGCAAACAGCATAAAGTTGAAATGATTTGTACCATAAAAACATACAAGCTAACAAAAGGATCGTATTTATTAAATCCTAAACCAGCAAGGAATCAATATGATTGACAAATTAACGATGAATGGTTGACGCATAATGGACGTATACTACATTAATCACAACATTTTAAGGTCGGGACCGAACTCCTGGCACAAGAAGCGCTATTACGAACAATACCACACAGGTTCAAGCTGATGGTCGGAACGAAACCTTGGCAGGTGTTCAAATGACGTTGCATGAGAGAGGTGTCATGGTCATACATGGCTGGATGGACTTATATACATTAACAAGGCAGAAGACAGATGTTGACTTACGTGCCTGCGCTTATAACCGCTCAATACTGCTGGGCATGGCTCTGATTTCAGCAATGCCAGTTGTTGCCAACACGTAACGAAACCTGCCAACCGGCTATGCGCTCTAAAAATGAGAGACGTGGCTGAGGGTGCCACGTGCGACTTACCTTGCTAGAACTAATATCAAATGGAAGTCAGATCAGAACTAAAAGGGTGTGATCTGTCCCAAAGCCCTTTACCGTCTACGGGTAGTAGATCCTAAAAACAGAGGTGCACAACATAGTGACGTGCCGCAATTTTAACTTCGTCGATGTGATTTGGGCAGGACTGCAACTCAAAAACATTGAGATTTACTCCCATACTGAGATGATCCAATAAGTTCAAAATATCATTGTTCCTGTCAGTGTGCATGCCCATGGGAAGCTTTAGTCAAGTTTCTGTTCATGTAAACGGGTGTTAATAAACTACAACTCGTATTTACAGACCCTAACTTTTTGAAGTGCGCAATTCGTGTCAATTTATCCCAACTGATGTGAGCATTCAGTTATTCGAACGGAAAATTACTAAATGAATACGTCATAGCAAACAGCCACAGTCACCTTATATTAGTTCATCATTCAGCATCCTTGCCTTGTCGCTTGCATGCCGCCACCTCCACCAACTATAGAAGCTTGTTTTCAACTCGTGCCACTAATGCTGGCGTAATCCGTTAGTGTGCCATTGCTCTAAGTTTGTGGAAGACAAAGTGTCACCTCCACACGCCAGCATTCGTGCTGACACAAACTCAGGCCAAACCTAACCCTCCCTCTCTCTCTCTCTCTCTCTCTCTCTCTCTCTCTCTCTCTCTCTCTCTCTCTCTCTCTCTCTCTCTCTCTCTCTCTCTCTCTCTCTCTCTCTCTCTCTCTCTCTCTCTCTCTCTCTCTCTCTCTCTCTCTCTCTCTCTCTCTCTCTCTCTCTCTCTTCCTCCCTCTCTCTCTCCCCCTCTTATTTCTCTCACTCGCTCTCCCTCTCGCTCTTGGTCTTACTCTTGCTCTTGCTCGTGCTCTTGTTCTTCCTCTTGTTCCTGTTCTCGCTCTCGCTCTCGCTCTTGCTCTCGCTCTCGCTCTTTCCTAAGCTGTCTCGCTCGCGCTGTCCTGTCTGATAACAATTCGTTGTGATTCAAGACATTTCAAAGTTGAATAATGATTCAAACACAAATTACCAGTAACTGGCTAAACTTGATTCGTAGTAGAATTTTGTTGGGCCTGATTCTGATCCTGATGCACGAAACAGGGATATCATCATGAGTTGAAACACCTTGGCTCGAACGAGAGTGGATGTCACGTATCGGGGAATTTGACAAGAACTAAGAAGTTGCGTTGGCACACTCCGTAATGCATTGTCATGTCAATGGTCATTCTTGGATTTTACATTCGACGCTAATGTAGAGATGCGCCATCATTGCCAAACTATATGTATGAGATCTACTATCCCCTACCATCTCACACAGTTACGCGGAATAACTTATAAAAATGTAAATGTCACGTTGCCAGGTGGAGGTTCTGTGTAAGGTTAGGGTGTAGAGCTAACTGGGCTGACAGATGTTTTGTTTCTGGTTGAAAGCTGGAAATGAAGGAACCCTGATGAGGCATGTGGCAGCCAGACCTAAAGAATACCTAGAAACACACGAAAGCTGACGCCAACCGGCCTTTCTCGTCGCGGCTGCTGCGTCGGGGGACGGACTGGTGGGTGGGTTATTTGTGAATTTTTTGTCTTGGTGATGGCCGTAAGAAAAGCTTTCGTGGCCTGTCTGACATGCCCAACGTAGCGTTTGCCAGCTTTTATGGCAGATTTTTAAAATCAAAGCACGATATGCTGTGCTGCTGCTGTTGCTGCTTTGCTGTTGGTTATTTGGACAATACTTTATCGGCGACCCATCGTTGCGTGCACTGCTGTAGTCCTTGACACTGACCATCAGAAGATATTTTTATCAAGACGATATGGTTATCTATACTTGTGGTGGCGTCGCCATGAAGGTCGCCATGGAGGTAATACATCTTCAATAGATCCACGTGGGCCCTCGTTGGCGAGCCATACATGAAAATAAATCCTAAAAGGCGAACCTACCATTACGCGTTTCGCCACATCAAAAGTGTGGTCAGCATAACTTCAACCATCTACCTAAGTTGGGCTTCCACGGCGACTATTGGAGACTCAGCAGGGCAACGTAAGTTCTATTTGCGAGCATTTTACGCATTGCAGACGGCGTGCTCGTGGTAAGACAAGGTCTGAATATCCGCTTCACTATGTTTTGTCAAAAGATTTCACCTATGACATAAAACGCAGCCGCGCTTAGTTACATTCTGATGTATATGTTTGTGTTTGTTTGAATATGAATGTTTGACCTGTCTGATGTCATGGTGACGAAAATCATACATGGCTACTATTGTTTTAGCAGTTGCATAAGCGTCAGGAATTACGCTAGGTAGCAGGTTCCAAAAAACACAATGTTGACCTTAGTCATTTTGTGTCAGTGACCTGTATTGATTTTCAAGAAATCCATGGAACTTGTATAATGAGGTTCCTGTGATCAATAACCCCAAAATGAGAATCAGACACTACCATATATACCAAGTTCTAGAATAAAAAACAGGCTAGCTTTTACTTCGGGCTGACCTTTATCCCTGACGCTAGGACACTTATATTGAAACTATGTTAGAGACGTATGACTTCGTCTAACACTCCGTTTTTGCATCGGGCTAACCGATTGCTTAGAAACCATCTCGCTGCATCCATGTCCTGACTTTGACCTGTCGTAGGTCAGCGACCTTACTACGAACACCTGCATCTTTGATACCAAACGATCAGTTATTCCGTTGTCTACAGTGATGCAAAATTGACGCGGCTACGCCGCACCTTCGGGAACCACTCCCGAAGCCTTCAGGGGAGGTGGACAAGTTGACCCACACTCGAGCGCGTGTCGAAGTAGGTGTGTAGGAGGGAATTTCTACTATATCAGAAAAGTCAAATATTCGTGATTAAACCGGACTTCAGGTTAGAAGGGTCTCATGAAAGCAAGTTTTCAGTGAGCTGTTTTTCTTGGAACATGTGCGACACGTGATGTGTGGCGTCATGTTTGTGCCCATTCTTGTTTAGTAATTCCACTACAAATCGCCCGGACCATAACACGCCATAGCCTTCAACTTGGATGAAAACATATGTAAAGGGTACCTTTATGGTGAAAACACAATTATCTATGTTCAAAAACCGCACGGCATACCGACAAGGCACTTGGACTAACTGAAAATACGCAACGATATTACGAGCCTTATCCTCTTACTTAAGCCAACAGAAACACTTGCACAACATGAGGGTAGGGAAAAGTGCATCCGAAAACCAAATATCTATATTTTCTGCAGATGGTTCAATACCATGTTCAAAATCAACTAGTACACATAGTGCCCTAGTTTGGCCTTTCACTTCGTTTGCTGAAACAGATGGCAGCTTCTTTGTTCTTTAAACAAATATGCAATTAAAAGCAATCTGTTGCCGCTCAGCCTAAACAAAATGTCTAGGATTTCTTCTAGATCGGTCGGAAGTCAATCTGAAGAATGGTGGATCACGCACCTATGGATGCAGTGTGGCTCACACCTACGGTGTAACTGTGGTCATGATCTTGGAGCGATTTATGCTCATTTCAAAACCACTCACATAGACGCTGTTTTTGTTACCCGTGAATACTCTTTGCATGGTGAGTGCGAGTTAATGGACCTTACGTACCTCTCGTACCTCATGAGACGTGTATAGATGGCAACTTCGTGCGCTCCCGAGTCGTTACACCACACCGATAACCTTTATGTAAAGGTTATCTAAAGTGCCATCAATTTGTTTGCCAATATCACATCTAGAGCCGTAGCAAAGTCGCCTCGTGTGCTGGCCAGCATGCGCGGAACTGCACACATGGGGTTCAATACAGCACGCATATAATTTGACCGCGGCTGTGCATAAACCAGGTCGGGATTAAACATGGGTCAGTTCGTGGAGAGCCTCATTCCCGGCAGGTCGGGGAGACGAAGAACTTCAGTTTGGCTGTTTTCAGCGAGTGGTCCCAGGGTTATTGGCTTTGATTTATACGGCACTCGACAAGAGTTCTGGTGCTTACGTTCATGTTCGCAGAGTTGGTCTTGTCAACTACTGCTGTAATTGGCGAATGGTCTGGCTTATGCAAGCCTGCGGTCTTGACCTTGACTGGAACGGCGGGCGTGGCTACATAAGTGAATATGCGTCAGTGCTGAAAATGGGCCACATGAGAGTATCTAGCTACTTCCCAGTTGCAGTGAAAATGAGATTAAATTTTCATATTTCTATTGCCTGATTTCAACACGTAACAGGCATAGATTCGATAGATACATCTCATCTAGGCATAGCATAGATGAGATGAGTTTCGTTTACTGATATCAAATACTCTCCGCAACACCGTCGTAAACCATACCCAGATATCAAGCACCCGTCACCGCAGTGACAGGGGTGGAAAAAAGGAGCTTCAGAGGTCAGCTGAAGACATTAAAGCACATGCCAAGGATTCATTCGGAGATATTTGCTGCTGAGAGGTTCACCTGTTTTGACGTAGGAGGCTGCCGGTCTAACAGGCACCAGGGTCCGATAGGTATGATTTCACACACATGCTATTATTCCAGTTTGTGTTATATCAGTCTCAGGAGATTGAAAAACTTTGTATATTGGTATATGTAGGTCTCCGTAGATGAAGTTTTTCAAGATGCATGGGAGGTGTTTGGGAATCGTTGGCACAGGTCACTTCCTAAAATGGCATTAATCCAGTAAACCAAGTGCACTACCCTCGCAACAGTCGCATCAGAAAATGCTCCAGACATTCACGAACACATCTAACAGCCTCATCTGACTGTAGGTGCCATATAATGATAATTTCAGTTAAGGCGACGCATCTGCATCGAGAATCGACCGAGATAACATGCAGTATAGACTAAGCCTGAAGACCGCTGCAACAGAGCCTCGGGAAATAACAACAATTCTTCCCTTCTGTAATCGGATTTTCTACATTTCAAAACATTGCAGCGTGCATCAGATACGATGAAAAAGGCTCACCTGTAACTGTTGGTATCGTTTTAAGTGTAAAAGACAGCTCTAGACAACGCAATTTCTCTGTTGAGTGAGTATGCCCCTCAATACGCCATGGCTTAGTTGCATAATTGTACATTGCACTGCGTTGATTGGGAGCCCATTGGCGGCCGATATATCTGGAAATTGTGATCACAAACGTCAGATATAAACGACTCGAGACTAATATTCTTCTTGGTCATGATCGCCGCATGACTGATGGAATGGCCGAACTTGAATGACGTTACTGCGGCGCCATTGATGTCTGGGTGACCTTGAAATGGTCTTGAAATGGATTTGACAATGAAATGGTGAAGATTAAAATGAATGTGGTTGTCGTTTAGGTGCTCCGTGGTGCAAATGAACTTACCGCCCCTGTGTGTAGGTGGGCAGAGAAAGTACTGGTTATCAAAACACAAGTTTGTGACTGCTCGTCAGATATTTTTGTGATCCACTTTTCACACCAAGACATCTATCGTCGTATACATCACTGTTGAGCCTCGCATAAAACTTCTACTGCGTAGTTGTAAGTGAAAAAGTGAGAAACACCTGTCAACAGGATTTTCGTGGGAATTCGGTCGATTGTTCCACTTTTGGAGTGAGGAATGCGTCCGTTTTCTGTGCACCAATGTATTGCTTTGATCAACACAGCACATGATACAAGATTCCACCAGAACGAATTCGCCTCACGTTATAAATAGGTGATCACACACAACAGAAAGGACAATGTGTTTAGTACTTGGTCTTGTAGACCGGCGCAGGGGCATAAGAACGAGCGGGCTTGTAGGCCGGGGCCGGGTGGTAGCTAGGCTTGTGCTCCTCGTAGTGGGGCTCTCCAGAGTAGGTCACCTCGGCGTTGTAGCCTCCGTAGCCGTCGTGGTCAGCGAAGTACTTGACGTGCTGGGTACGGCCGTCGGGCAGGTTGACCGAGTAGTAGCCGTTGACATTTTTGGTGTCGCTATTCTCGTTCTGAGAGAAGACGGCACCGGAGTAGTGGTCGTGTACAGCGTAATCAAACTGGTAGGGCGTGTCGTAGTGGTCCGGCTCCTTGTAGGACGGCTGGTGGTAGCTCGGGCCATGAGAGTACGCCTGCTTCGGGGCGTAGCTGTTGGAGGGAGCGGCGGCGGCAACAGCCAGGAGAGCGGCGGCAACGAGCACCTGCAAGAATACAAATTACGTTAGATTACGGCTTTCCTTTCTTGTATTCACATTCCCCCGTATGGTAGCGCTCAGCTTCATAATGTCATGAACTGCCGAGCGTTGGAATGGTATAAATTTATGACACTGCAGACTAAATGAGAGCCGTTACTTAATTTCGGCCGTTTTTGATTACGCAATGAACGACAGGGCTACTGACCTTCATGTCTGCAGAGTTGGTCGTGTCGACTGATGCTATGAACGGGGAGTGGCGCGGTTTTATAGTAGACCTCCATCGAACCTTGCTAACGAGGCAGGGCGGGGTCTCATGACCGAATATGCGGTGTTCTTCGCATTTAGATGTAAATGTGGAAGTTCCCACTTCATGTTTTACACCAGGTTGCGGTGTTTTTTTATTTCTTGATGCCGCACAGTACAGCAAAAGTCATTGCTTTTCGGTTAAACTTTGTATTGCACTTCTTAAAGTGACAGTCATTTGGTTGTACAATAGTTCAATATTTTCCATTCAGAATGTTTGATATGACAGACATGTTTTTCGTATACCAGTATAACTCACCACGAATTACTCCATTAATCCCACTGTGATATGGGCAAAACGTTTAAATCTAATGACACCAACCAACTAAAACTTTTAACATCTCGAAGCGGCAAGCAGAAGGAAATTTTGCGCATTAGGGGTTATGTGGTTGTGCTTACGTTTGTTGGCTAGGTTACATGAAAATAACGTCACTGCATTCGTTGTCATCGAACTGAGACGTTCTTTGCCAAATATGTTTCGTCGTCTCATGTTTCCATCACTCATTGGATTGCTTAAGATCAGATTTTTCCTGCGGAGACTTTCACTTTGAGTCTTCAAGTTGCCGCAGAGTGATGCTGCACGAATTTCTTAAACTCTTTTTCACCGCCTTGGTTTTAGCCCTCGGTGTTTGTCCTCTTGGGTGAGCCTATCGCAACAATTTTGGTTGTTCTTTCAATTCCGACCGTTGCGACCCTGCCAACCATTCCTTGATGACTCTGAAAGACGAGTTTACTTGTTTCTGCGGGCCATTTATATTATTGTGTTTTGACATGATAGTAGTGTCTTCGCATGTATTGCTGTGATCTAGAACCGTTGAAGCAGCCTAGGAATGAAAAATTCCATCGCAAAAAGACCGTGCGGGAGTGAGAAATTCAAGTCACAAAAGTTGGAACTTTTTAGCCAGTAACATATGCTTCAGTAAACAAAGACATACATTTCAAGTTGGCATGGACGATATATCATGAACATCGCAAAATCGCTTGTGTTTTTAACATCTTAGGTCATTATAGTGAAACAGAATACATTAAAGAATAGCCATTTCGTAGCAGTGTTGTGGTCATCAAAAACCATATAGGACCAGTGTTTTGATGCTGCACTTTGCGCTTTCCTTTCACAGGATATTTCAACATAGAATAAAGCAAAGAAATTAAAAACAAAAACAACAACAAAGACTTCAACAAGCATAAAGTATTTAAACAAAAAATCTTTTGACCCCTGCACATCAGCACGTGAAATGAAACACATCAGGCATACCTCTGGCTTCTGTTAAGATGGGGTCGGGACATACAAATATTATGTTACTGTTTCTTGCAAAATACCAATACGTATGTCCACGAAAGTAACGTGACAAAGCCTAACCTGAAGAAGCCTTGCCTCAACTCACCCCGTCTAACCTATTTGTGTCGTAGCAGCATTTGTGAATCACTAATTCTTGCAATATTTTTTGCTGCCACTTGCCATGCAATTAAGACGAGATATCACTTTAACGAATATGAGGCAAATAATTGAAAGTATGGAAGAAAATAGCTGAGTTACGTGCTTTGTTTTTTTCATAATTGTCTGATGATGAAAACTTGATGTATTAAAATAGACAATGACTAAATTTGGTTATAAATCAGGTGTTGAAAGCAGGCAGGGTTGGCAATGAGTTGCTCCATCAGAGAACTTTCTTGGCTTTTTAAGGGCACGCTTCTTTCCGCTCCCCCACACAAATAGTCTTTCGCAGGGTTTGGTGACAGACAGGGTCATTCAGCTCACCCATACAACATAAATATCAATCATGCCCACCAACCTATAAGATTAAAACGCAAAAGTAACAGCTGGTCTCCATGATAATACAGAATTTCGCTACCAAACACTTCTGTATGAGCTCCGCCAGATCTGTCCCAAAGCCACGCACGCTAGGATAATGTACCGTGACGGATAGTGAGCCTGAATGGCTTAAATTTATCACTTTTGAGCCCCGCCATTAAACAAAAACGCGGCTAACTGAGAGTTAAACTGGGCAAAAGTTATGCTGCAATAATGTTCTTTGCTTTAAATTGTCTCATGCATCGTCTATGAATTGTTCACTCCTGGGAGCATATCAAGCATGTTTGGGCGGCTGGCGAATTAATCCAATTGCTGTATGAAATAAGTACCACTTTGCAGTTGGAACATTTTGCAGAGAACTTTCACTCCTGCATCTCGGGAGTGGTGGAATCCAGTGGTCAAGTTTTTTTAGGTAAAATAAAATGTGGAGTTAAGTTCCCTACCAGGCCATGCAGGTGTTTGTACCGGGCGTTGTTTTGGTGGTGTAGTTCTCTCGTGGTGCGACGAAAAAAATTCGGATGCGTGAAAACCATGCGTTCGGCACACGGCTGTAACTTGTGATGCATTTTGTAAACAAACCAAACTTGATGCATGCAAGCGGCTGGAGTCGCTTGGGCTCTCGGGCTTGAAGGTGCCTGGTGCTCTTACCCTTTTTATACGTAGACAAGATTTAGATATAGACGAGGCGGGATACAGCCATAGGTGTCGAGGTTCTTTGGAATCTTGTTGATGCTTGATTGTTTCAAGTGAGGTTGGTTTTGGATGACATCTTAAGGCCTCGGAAAAGGAAATATGGGTTTGATATGCACGGTTAACAACATCAGGTAGAAGTGGAAAATTCACAAATTATGGGGAAAAGGAGTGAAAAATTACTCCTCATAAGGCGTTGCTTTTCACCTTAAGTAGACAATTCTTGGACACTGATTTAATAGAGACGTCATATTAGAGGTAAGTGATGGTAGATCATTTACGTGCAGATTTATAGGAACTGCGCTCTAGAAAGAGCCTCGGGGAATCACCATACCAGCTTCTCCGTAAGCTGATAACGTATGCTCTGCATTGTCCTGTATGAATACCAGGGGTGTATTTTGGGGGGTATTAGGGGAGTATTATATGCATGCGTCATTGTTTGATTACGTCGTCGTACTTTGCACAACACTGATTGGGAGCTTAGTGACGGCGGTCATATCTGGATGTCGTACTCACGGACGCCAGATATGAGCGAAGAAGCAATTATATTTTTATTGGCACTGCTCACCGCATAGCCATTAGAATGATAGGATTTCAATGAACTTTCATGATGTCATGGATTGCTGGGTGACCTTGAAATAGCCTCCCCGAAATAATCTGCACATTTTCGTGGGCGTTTAGCTCCGAAACTAAACTTTTTTAGGTCTTAAGAAGGGCAGGGCTTTGAACTGAACCGAACGAAACTCAACACGACTGTTTCAGTTCAAATCCCTATGCAAATGTGGAGTACATCCCTTAAGGAAGAGCATATCACCAAAGCTTCTAATGAACCCGAACATGCTATCAAAGGACGCTTTGATCCAAAGCAGCTTTTGGTGCTGGTAATATTGATTCTCTTCTTTAATGTACACCAGCTACACATTTTTGGTTATAAATCTCGTAAAATAGATGGCACACTTTAAAAGCACGATGACGTAATGAAACAATGACGCATGAAAGGGGATATTTACTAAAAAGCAAAACTGTGTTGTTTAGAACGGGGTTTTCGACTTAGAACTATATAAACACATAAGTGAGCCTGTTTCATCATATCTAATGGTTGCCTAAATCTCTTCAAACGTGGGATATTCCCTTTAAGCGTGAAGAGCATACATGTGCTTCTGTTTTTTTTCTGGAAGCCACCCTGGTTATGAAATGCAGCACATTCATTTAAGCAATCCATGAGTCGATTCTCTTTGAGGTAGGCCAAGAAAAATAGAACTGTCGAGTCGCTCATATTTTGCGTTCGTTAGTACGATTTCCAAATACAACGGCTGTTTACTGGCTCTCAATCAATGTTGTGCAAGGTACGAGGACATACAACAACCGCGTATACAGGAGCGCATTGACTCAGCAGAGAAACTGTGCTGTCTAGTGCTATCTTTTTGGGTTGAAATTATACCGACAAGTATAACTGAGGTCATATCATCGTATCTGATGCATTCTTGAATGTGATAATAATAGCTGATTACTCATACTGATAGATGCACGATGAGAGTAGCAATGGTAAATTTATTTCCCCTTTGGTTACGCTGCAAGTTTGTTCCATGTTTCAAACTTATTAGCTGGGGGTGCCACAGCCTTAAACGTTTCAGTAACTAATAACGGTATTAACATGTGGATGTCTCTGCCGCGGTGGATGGGCCGGGGTCTCCGGATCATCTGCATTTCCGTTGGGATTCGGTTGATCCCTCTACTCTTGTAGTCACGAAAACGTCCGTTCTCTTGTGCACCAATGTATTGCTTTTATCATCACAACACTTGATATAAGACTCCACGAGAGCAATTTCGCTGCATATTATAAATAGGTTCTCACACACCAGAAAGAACTAGGTTTTTAGTACTTGGTCTTGTAGGCTGGCGCAGGGGCATAAGAGCGAGCAGGCTTGAACGCCGGGGCAGGGGCATACGAGCGAGCAGGCTTGTAGGCCGGGGCCGGGGCATAAGAGCGAACGGGCTTGTAGGCCGGTGCCGGGTGGTAGCTGGGCTTGTGCTCCTCGTAGTGGGGCTCGCCAGTGTAGGTCACCTCAGCGTTGTAGCCTCCGTAGCCGTCGTGGTCAGCGACGTACTTGACGTGCTGGGTACGGCCGTCGGGCAGGTTGACCGAGTAGTAGCCGTTGACATTCTTGGCGTCGCTGTTCTCGTTCTGGGAGAAGACGGCACCAGAGTAGTGGTCGTTGACAGCGTAATCAAACTGGTAGGGCGTGTCGTAGTGGTCCGGCTCCTTGTAGGACGACTGGTGGTAGCTCGGGCCATGAGAGTACGCCGGCTGCGGGGCGTAGCTGTTGGCAGGAGCGGCGGCGGCCACGGCCAGGAGGGCGGCGGCGATGAATACCTGCAGGAAACAAATTACAATAGGTTACTTCTTTCCTT